TTTTTTTTTTTTTGTATTTAAAATACGTTTTTATTGCGTACAATAATTGATGAATTCTATTTCTGTTTAGATTAAAAAAAGATATATATATATTTTTACTATTAAAAAGGAAATATTTTTTAGAGAGCTTTTAATTTAAACCTTGTTCTAGCATATTTTATTTCAGAAATTTAAAATAACTTATTTTTAAAATGATGAAATTTGATTTTTACAACATCTTTTGAAAAAAAAACCTTAAGTTTTGTACTCAAATTTTCAAAATAAAAAAATCGAAAAATTATATGCAATATTATTAGCACGAGACATTTTTTTTCAATAAAATATCTTGATGATTTTTAATAAAAAAATTATTTTATGATGTGCTTTCGCTTATATTTAATTATAACCCAAAAAATGAAAAACAAAAATAAAAAAAAAAATTTTATATTGCTATTATTCATTAGTGGTTTTCTATTTTTTTCACAATTGACATTTTTCCGAAGAGCCGTAAAAAATACGTGTATCGATATTTTGTCCTTTGTGCCGCAAACCCAAATTTACGAAACTTATTACTCTTAACAAATTTATGCATTTTAGCAAATTTTAAAAAAATGCGCATGTAAACACTTTTTTTTTGAAATAATTGATTCCTTGCATGTAAAAGCTATTTTAGTTTTACATTATTTTTAGGGCAAAACTAAATAGCACATTTTAAAAGAGAATTTTTTTTTTGCTTCTTTCTGAAATTGCAAGATAAAACCTTTTTTTCCTATTTTTAGAATGTTGCACTGACAGTTCGTATGTGTGTAAAATGTATTATAATCATTTTACATGTTCAATGGAACAAGTAAAATTGATTTTAAGCAAACATATCCAAATAGGAGTAGCTTTGAAATTTTTTATTTTACTCGTTTATTCTATGTTATGTATATTTTCTCATACAAGTGTGACATAATTTACAAGATATCAGTACATTTTTTTTTATTTCCTTACTTAAGTTGAAACCACTTTTCATTAACACAATTTTAAGCATTCATATAATAAATACACTTGTATATATTTATGTATTCATACACTCATTTTAAATGTGCTAATATAATTCAAATGTGCATAAAAAATTTTCAATAGAAAATTTATATAAGTTAATATAACAAATTATGAAACACTTTATTGGTTTATCTACAAAATAAGGAACGACAAGAAAACAATAAAAAAGAGAGTTTCATCATTTAAAAAAATTTTATATATAACCCCCCAATAAAACAACAAGACGAAAAAAATATTCTCAAAATATGGATAATAGTTCCGTTAAGGAAGAAGAATATTGTATACCAAACCAAATTGCAGTGGAATCTTCTACTTCGGATGAAATAGAATTTATCGACAGTGAAGAAATTTTATTGTCTGACGAGGATTATCAGGATTATATATTATCGGAACAGAATAATGACTACGCAGACACATCACAAGTTGATTTAACACGTGATGATGAAATAATAATGCTGAATATGGAAGATGAGGATTTTATGTCAACGGATGTAACAATGGAGTACAACGAAGAATTAGAAGAAATAACCATGAATACCATGCAGATAGATAATATGGTTGGAGAGGTCCTAAGAGGACAAAATAATGAATTATCGCACAATCATCTAAATGGAGAAAACAATGAAATGAATCTATCTGAATTTATTCATCATGGAAATATAATAGGAAACAATGCACAAACTGGTGTTTATACACCTCTTCAAAATATTGTTCAGAACGATTTGCATTTCGGTGAATATGCAATACATGGAAATATAGTACAACACGATGTGCATTCCAGAGAACATATTCATCTTGGCAATAATATACAACACGATTTTCATTCCCGTGAATATTCTAATCATGGGAATACATTGCAGCATGATGGGCATTCGAGGGAACATATTCATCATTGGAATATAGCACAACATGATTTGCACTGCAGAGGACATAATCATGAAGGGAATGTAATGCACCACAACTCATGTATAATAATAGAATTTGACCGTTTGGAATTGCATTACAATTATAATATTTTGAAATTATGGGAAACAATAAAAGAAAGGAGATTAGGTGATTATCAAACAAACCCAGACGATCTTATAGAAGATAAACTAGTATATCATATATATAATTTCTTTCACTCCATTGTAAGATGCAAATATTTTACTCTTAAAGGTAAATTAGGTATATTATGTGAATACATTGTAATGAAGTACAATATACCAATAGAAGTTAAAAACCATGTGTGGGGTATGATTATTTCTTACATTTTAAATGATATGCTAAAAATGGATGCCCGAGATTATTTTGAATTGTGTGATCTAATTGAGAATGGAATGTGCAATAGATTGAAATTCGTTGAATTTATTAATAACAAAACGTCATCATGGAACATGTCCACCAATTTGATATTTCAATCATGGGCCGATGTTTTGACTTTGAAATTAATTTCACATTCTCGTAATGTGACATTTTAGGATATATGGATCCATTCATTTTACTTTTAAGAACACGAAATAAGTAAATAAATACATGCTGAATTAAATTTGCACATATATTAGCACATATGCCTACATATATAAGTATATCAGTGTTCATGAGTATGACTTTATGTAAATGACAATGTAAACACAGTGATTTCTGTCATTTACATATGAAGTTTAATGAAAGCAACTGATATGATTTGTAAATGTTAAAATCAATGATTAAACAAATATTATATATGTTCTTTTAAAATTGTGCATGTTGCATATTTTTAATGTAAATATGTTGTTATGATTATTTTATACTATTTTACCTTCCTTTTTTTTTTTTTGATACAATACAACATATTTACACAGCTGATGAATATAACAATTGAATCCTTACACCAATGTTTCGTTTTCAACATTTTGTTATACATAAATGTGTGATGTACTTAAAACGAATATTTACCTAAGTGAATAAATTTGTTATTTTTTTTGCCCACCAAAACATCCATAAAACAAGTATAAAATATCTAATATATACTGTCTTAATTTTGCGTACATGATTATATGTCATATATGGAGGCGATAGTATATTTTAAGCTGTACGTATTAACCCCTAATTAGAAGTCTATAATTAAAAGGTGTATATGATCCAAGCTTGTTTCAACTATGAAAGTCAGAAGTATGATTACATGCCACAAAGTAAAAATAATAATCATTTATGTAAAAATGGAATGAATTAACTAATAACAAAAAATTCTGGCATTCTGTTCCTACAAAAAATAATATAAATATATTCATCGTTTTATGGTGTGCGGAGAATGGCAAAAGTTATATGCGAATAATTTTTCCATGAATAAAACATGAAAAATCCTGTATATCAATTTTGCAATAATATGATAAAATTATATATTTGAAAAGTTTTGGGGAAGAAACGACGCATTCAGTGCAGACAACTATGATTTTTATACTTTTACATTAATTGATTTAAAACATGATTTAATATGATCAACGATAAATGTACAATACATTTAGAAAATAATTTATCATCTGGTTATCTTAATGAATGTGTTATTATGGATCGATACGAAAACATAAAAACAAGCATAACAATTTGCTAAAGAGAGTTATCCATGTGGATACACACACACCTTATTAATTAAAATATATTCATTATAATTTTTTGATATTTCTGAAACTTGAAAGAGGAACATGTTCAAGTGTTAAAAATCTAAAAAAAAATTAAGGATATGCTGGACTAACAAAAATGTGAAAAAAAAACTTTTATAATTATTTCATTTTAATTAAAGTAAATCATCTCTTATAATTGAAATTGGAAGTAGGGATGCATATTTTTTACCTCGTCCGTTTTCTTATTAAATTAACGGTTGTAATAAGGTCAATCTAGTGTACTTTATTAAGATTAGGTTTTGTTATTAAATAAAGAAATCTTCATTTTTTTCAAGAGTTTAGCAGATTTTTCATTAAATTTTGCCTTCTTACAAGGTACATAAACTTCTTTTTGAAAAATTGTTTCCTTGAATTAATATTTTTTAACATTTTATAAAAACTAATTTAATAATATATTAATATAACAAATTAACAAAAAAAGAACTTAATGGTAGCATTTCACGGCCACTTCTGGAATGTTACAATATAATTTAAGGAAGTGTAATTTACATATAGAGATAGGATTAATAAAATAAAATGAAAACATAACTCTATTTACATATTCATTCTTGGATTATAATATATAAAAGTTATAGAATGTGCTATAAGGTATTTAATACATTGATGACATTTCACAAATAGAAAAATTCTTTGTACATGCATGTTCATTTTATTTTAGCGTAGATCTTACCTAAAACATGATTAATTGTAGAAAGCCTTTATTCTGTACGGTCTGAGTATACAATACTTTTATTAAAATTGAGATTTTTTTGCTATAAAACAGGAATGGTTTTTTAAAATTTTTTCATAAATTGTTAATGATGCATATCAACAGATTTTACACCAAAAAAAAAAAAAAAAAAATTTGAATTATTGTTGCATCTCAAACGATAAAAGACATATTACAGATTGCAACACAAATAAGCACACAATAAAAAAAAAAAAAAATAAAAGCAATTAAGGTATTATATATAATATCATGGCTGAGGGATTTATTTTATTGTAATCTGCACAATAATTATCATTAAATATTAATAAATTTTTTTTATATTTACCTGTTACATTATTAGTAGATCGGTTAATAATAACTGATAAGTTATCATAATAAGAACAGTCGTAATTAATGATTTTTCCCAATTTTTTCTTAAGGTTATTGTTAGACTTCATGGTATCAGAAACACCTATATCTTTATCTTCACGTATATCATAAACTTGTTTTAATATGCATCTTTTCTCTTTTGAATAAACTCCTTTTTCTCTTTTACATTTAAAATCAGTATATTTTTCGAATTTATTTTTCCAGTATTCATTAACATCATTTACCATATCATTCTGATGGATCTTGTTTAATTTAGATGTCTTTATTATTGCAATTATTAAATTAAAGAAATAGTTAATATCTCTACAACACTTAAAATCTTGATTTTTTTCGCAGTATTCATTAACAATGGCACGATAATTAATATATAGATTTGCTTTAAGACTGTCTACATGTTCAAAAAATATAGTTTCATAAGGATTGGGCAATTCAAAATCATTTTTCATTGATTCTAAGTACAAATGCTTTAGCAATTGTTGTTTATACAAATTAGAAGGTAATTTATATTCATAGCAGTCCTTAAATAAAATAACGTTATGAATAATATACATACGAATGTTTTATGAAAATATTTAATTTGGAACTATATTGTATTTTTATAATGTCCAAATAAAATTATGCTTATAATACACAAAAATTATTTTTTAACCATTTTTTAAAAGCATTTTAGCTTTTGATCTCATTGGAATTATAAAGTATATCATTGATCCATTGTAAGAAATTTTATTTTTAATACAATTTAATAAAACATTGCATATTATTATAACTTCTTTTACTTTTTCACGTAATTATTTTTATATTTCATGTAAGAATATAACATTTAAAAAAGTACATGACTATGTTGTTCCATAAAATTAATTATATGTAAAATTTTTTCTTTTAATAACGATCTAAGCATAATGCATCACATTAGCTGAAAAGCATGTGTTCATAAAATATGCAATAATTGTAAAAAATAATATTAGAATACACACTTTAGCTCTAATTGAACTATATATATTTAAATGTATATAACCATTAAAACATATAGGTAAACTGTTCGAATGTTGAGCATAAATATGTCAATTTATTTTTTTCGTAAATTACATATTTCACATTATGTATTATATTTTTCCAACGACCATATCCTAAATAGTGTTAATACTATATCTATCAAATAGTATTTGCTCAAATTTTATTATTTTAATTAATTAATTATTTATAATCTTTAATATTTTAGATATTTCATATTTTTACATGTATTATTTTAAACATTTTTTTTCAAAATGAAAATAATTATTCCATTCTAATGTAAAATGAATTCAAAACATATTAAATTCATTAAACAACGAAATAAAAAAACAAATAATTGTCATAGACAAGTAAATATAAATTTTAAAAGGAAAAAAAACGAAATGTCGATTTATAATCAGAATACAAAAAATATATCTTTCATATATTGTACTTTGGTTATACATAAATATGTTTAATATAATAACCCATTAATGTTTTATTTCTGAAATGTTTAATGCACAATTTATTTATCCCTTAAGTTATTTATAGAGTTCTGATATATTTTATCCATAAAGAAAATATTTTGTTTATAATTTACACTTAGAATATTTGAAAAATTATACATATATATATGTAGTATTATAAAAGAAAATGAAAGAAAAAAAAAAAATAATTTGCTAATTACATCTTTATCAGACGTTAATTAATACACTAATATTTCTATATTATCCATATTATAATTACACACATTCTGGAGGTCATTTTATCAGTTTTATCAGCAAAACATAGTTATTTTATAATATAAATATCATACACATAGGTTTTATGAATCCTTTTATCATACATCAAGTACAAGTTATAATTTATATGTGTGTAATCGTATTTCCTTGTTCTAATAAAACCCATATTATTTTAATTTATGTATAATGCACTTTTTTTTTTTTAGTGTTCTTGTACCTAAGCAATATTTGAACAATTTTACATACACTATAAAGTAACTGCTCTTGTTTTAATTATTACATTGACACATTTACAATATTAATTTTTTACTTTAGTTGTATGGTATTTATATATTGTTTTAGAGTTTTATTTTATGTATATTATATGAAAAAAATATAAGTAAAATAATGAATTACATTATAATTTAACATATTTAAATAACATGAACTATTTTACCCACGAAAGCATATCATTTTTTTGTTAAAATTTAAATTAATAATTTTAATTTATATAGGATATAAAATCTGTTTTATCATTTTTTTTATTTTTTTTATTACTTTTTATAGTTATAATTCCTTACTCCACTATGTAAATAGAAAAAATAATTATCATTATAAGTTCTCGTAGTTGTCCATTACTGTCTAATATTTTTGTCTATTTCTTTCTAAACAATAATGCACTATATGATATAGAAATATGTAGTGTAACATATTTCGCTACATTATGTTTTTTTAATATTTATGGTTTCTAATATAATCCTGAATTAAAATGGATGATAATACATCAACTCTATTATCTACGTTCTTGAATATAAAGGTATATTTCAATTTTATTTTAAAATAATAATAGAAAGTATTTTACAAATCTGTATTTTTGTTGTACAGTCTATATAATTATTATATTAAATGAATATTTTGATGTATATTATAAATTATCTTTATATTAATAGAGTAAACATACTCATAAATCAGGATTACATCAATTATATAAAAAATTTGATGAAGTTAAAGCGCAAAATGATACGTACAATAATATATGCATTGAAGAAAAGGATGCTTTTAAAAAGACTATCATGTTCAATAAGTCTATTGTTGATGTTTGCAAACATCTAGGTTCCATAATGAGTGTTTTATATAAAATTTGTGATGGACATTATGGTATCAATAGTAATAACTGTTATGATTATTTGATATATTGGTTATATGGAAAATTAGAGGAAAAGGAATATAATGTATTCAATGTTCAATGGATTTACAATAAATTTAAGCAATTTATAACCTATGAAAATTCTTCAAACGGAAAAAAATATAAATTAGATGAAAAACTTTTAACAGTACTAGACATTAAATTATTAAAAAATATGAAAACTTTAAGGGATTTTGTAGAGTATTATGATGACATAAAAGATGCACTAAATGACAATTCATCTAATATAAATCAATATTGCACTTATGTTAAGCATATTTTTGAGATATACAAAAATATGATGGAATACAACAATTTATCATTGAATAAGCCTTTTAAGGATGAGTTAAATTATTTTCATGAGAAAATTAATAATGATAACATAAATATCATTAAAAATATATGTACTAATAATGTTGAAACATCAAACTGGAATGTGGATAATGTACAGTTTTACACATTAAAAGAAGAAAGTATCCCTGAAATCGGGAAAGAAAAAAAAGAAATAGGTGACAAGAATTATTCAGTAAATGTAGGTTTAAATGTTACGAAAACAAATAAGTAAAGAAATATATATTTTAATATTATTATAATGCTATAAAGAAAATTTGTGAGTGTTTTTACAAGAAATATGTTTCAGTGAATATATTTATTTCTACATTTTTTTTATATTTTAGTATAATCTGTTCTATGATTTAGTTGATTATCAAAATGTGGAAAAGATTGTTGAGGAGAATAAAGATCGTTATATTGTTTTTACTAAAGAATGCAATGGAAGTAATAAGATTACAATTACTGATGATAATAAGAATTTAATAGAAATTTGTAAAACTTTTATAAAATATTTTTTACATTTGTATCACGATAGTATTAGGAAATCATCTAACGAATACAAACATTTTGGATATTTAAATTACTGGTTAAACAAAAAGTTAAGAAATGTGGGAAAATCGGTTAAGGATTTTATTGAGTTTCTTGATAAACAGGTAACTTTAACATATTCTGAATCTATCAATTATTTGAATTTTAAAAAAGAAGCATATCATATGAACGATGATGTATATACAAAAATGAATATATTGTATAACTTGCATGATAAATATAATAAAATTATTAATAATGAAATTAAACCAAATGAATGCTTGGAATACGCTAAAAACTCCTTGGAGGAATTTAATAAAGGTGTAAATAAGTTTTATCAAACTAAGTGCCTTAAATTGTATGATGCATTAAAGGATTTTCGGGCTAAATACAATAATGCTTTAAACAAAAAATCAAATTGTAAAGACCCAGGATTACACCTAATACCCCAAATAAAAACACTAGAAGAAAAAGAAAAAGAAGAATCAATCAATAAGGCTTTAGAAACTTGTAAAAACCTTCAGATTCAAACCATAGATGTAGTTCCTAAAAGAAACAACAGATTTGTATATTATCCCTATATAATTTAATTGAATTATTATATTTTCTTATGATTGTTAGTAAATCTTTAAAAAAAAAAAAAAATAACAAAACCTAAAGTATTGTTAATATATCATCAATTATGTTCCTCATTTTTAGGAAGATATTTTAGAATCTTTTCCCTCGCACAAAATATATCAAAAATTGAACAGAAAAAAAATAGATGTAAATATATGCACTAAATATTGTGAAAATGTGATTAATTCTAATTATAATGATTCCAATATAAATATTCTATGTGCATTAATTGCATCTAATTTAAAAGGATTATCCTCTATGAACGATTTAGAAGGAAATTATGATAAACGTTGTGCATATTTTACTTACTGGACCTATTACATAATAATGAATAAATATAATTCTCCGTCTAATTATTTTAATGAAAACAGTGTTATTAATAATCTTAATAGTGTAATTGTTAATTCTAATAATGATCTTTCAAGAAATGATAAACATTGTTTGTTCTATTTAGATGGAAATATTAATGAATGGATTGAAGAAAAAGATTTACATGATTACTTTGAAAATTTCAATAGTTTTAGTGCAATTAATACTGAAAGTCATAATATCCTAGAGTACTGTAAATATCTTGAATATATTAGTAGTTTGTACAAAACTTATTTAATACGCTGTTGTACATGTTTTAATTATCCTACTTTTAATTGTTTGAATAATTGCCCAAAATATTTTAAGTGTGATAAAAATTATCACCCGCATAAACTTTTATCTTATTTAAAGTGCGAACATATAACATCAGCTGAAAATGCAGAACAAATGTTTAAATATGTAACAATTGATTCTAATGTTCTAAATGAAACACAAGAATTATCCTCTAGGATTGTACAAGAGATACCTCAAAATATAACTATTGATTATGTTGAAAAAATACAGTATATTCCATTACATATACACAAAACATTGCCATATGACACTTTTTATTTTCTAGTATTAATGTCATCTTCATTTCTGGGATTATTTTTTGTATTCTTCATACTTTACAAAGTAATGAGAAAAATCTAGATATATAATTAATAATATTAATATTTACAACCAATTTTTATTAAAAATATAAATATGTACAACATTTCTTATATTTTACCTTAATTATTATTATATTAGTTTACTCCATTGGGATCACGATTACATAAGAGAGCAATAAAAAAGAAAATAGTTGTCCAAAATATTCAAGGAAAGCCCAATAAAAAATTAGATTACAATTATTCACATAATAAAGTACTAGATAAGTCGAACAAACGAATTCGAATAGCTTATAATTCTTCATGAAAAACTAATTATTATGCACGTATTGCATAGAAGCTGAAATAATAAAAGTATAATAAAGAGTATAAAACATGTGAAAACAAAGTAATTCCATGGTATACCACATAATGTAAGGATATATAAAGTTTACCTTATTTTTATTTAAAATTTTTGCACATAATATGATTTGAAGCACATACTCTTCTAGTTTATATAGGACTACGTTATTAACTAAACTTATTTTCCTAATTTGTATGATAAAAGAATATTATTAGCATTTAGAAATGCTTTATAAGTACGATTCCTGACGATAAATAAGTGAATGCTACACTATTTGATTCTTTATATTCATGGCTTATTATAGCAGGAAAAAATATGATAATAGATTTATATATACAAACTGACATATAAAGTAGGAAATAATGAGTACTTATTTACGAATAATTGCTTATATTTATATTCAATATTATGCGTTTATTGAATTTCTATCTATTTATTAAATTATTATATGAAATTAGATACTTATATAATTTTACAGCGAAGAATATTAAAATATTAAAATTATATTAAATTAATAGTTTTAACCTAAACTTATTATCCTATATAATGCATTAATTTATTAAGTATATATTTTTTATTATATTTTCATCATTATTATATATATCACATTCTTAATATTATAGCCATAGATTATATATCATAATAAATTTTCATGTAAAATACAGTTTAGAAGACGTTTGTTTATAGATTATGAATATTTTTATACATTATTAATATTCCAATAAGGTAATTACGTCTATATAATAAATCAACATATTATAATTAATCCCTAATTTATGTATTTTATATATGAATACTCAATGTGAATATTGTTACAACAATTCTCATAATATAATTCATTTATTTGTCATTCGTAAACATGACATTTATATGAATACATAATATTGTAAATTTGTTTTTATTTCTGTATTGATAGGATGAAAAAATAATAGTTTAGCAAAAATTACATTTTGTTGAAAAAAATTTATTAATAAATATAAAGAATGATATGTGTATAATAAAATTTTTGTATTTTATTACATAATAATTCATATATGGATCTACATTCATCATCTTAGAGGAATTGTATATTTTTCATGTTTAGCAATATAATAAATTCAAGCTTGTTAAAATAAATAATTTTTTTTTTCTTATGCAAATTGGATTTAATAACTTTTATGCTACACTTTTTTTAAATTATAGAATTAATTTTAAAAGGAGAGGTAATCGCTTTATTATTATTGCTTGTATGTTTTTTAAATATGGTTGTGTTTATTTTTAGATTGTAATACAAATGTTTTTAAAATTTTTAAAGTAGTATGAAAAAATTTACACATTATATAGAAAATACAAATGAAAATGTATACAAAAAAATAATATCAAAGTTTTCCTGTTATATATAACTATATAATTTTGTTAATAACTCGATTAAAAAAAGAACGATATAATTATAATATGTGGTATTGGCTTAAGTGTATATTAAATTATTTATAATATCCTCGTTTATACTATACTTTATATTAGTATATATAATTTAATGTAATATATATATAATATTATTATTAATAAAATTTTATCTTCAAAGACTATTAATTCACATATTCATATATGAGTAATGGAGCATTATTAAAATTAATTTTCTTAAATTACATTAATATGACTAAGCAAAAAGAAAGAATATGTATGATTAATTTAAAACATTTATAATTTTAGTATAATATCAAATATAAGCAAAAGGTATAATTCTATTCATATTTTTTTATATATAACATCGATATTAGGCATATATGTATTTTATATTCAGGCTTGTTTTAAGTAAATTTGAATATTAACTTTTACGTGAATTTATAAATTAACAATATAATTAATAAATTTTTTTTCTATATTTATATAAAGTGTATGTATTAATTGTACATTGAATTTTATCTTATTTATTGTGTCAAATACTATAAGCGCTGAATAAAATAATAAATGATTATTCTATAAATCATAAAACCTTGGTTATAATAAAACTTAATGTTTTTTATTAGGAATAAGATCTCAGTATACACTTAAAGTTTTTTGATAAACATGTTAACTTTTTTAATATTGTAATTCAATGAATAAATTATTCTTATAATAATTAATCTATTATAGATTTATATTATATTTTTTCAATTGAATTATATTTTTTAGCTATTATAAATTTCAATGCGAATAATAATTTTATTTTGTATATTTTCCTTTTATATTTAATTTGATGTATATTAGTGTTCTTGACTATTTATATGATTTTACACTTAAATAGTTATATACACATTTATTAAATATATGGATTTATATTTCATAGTACATTCTCTATTATCTACATTTGATTGATGATATACACATGTATATAAAGATACTTATTTATATTTTATATGCTCATTATTGAATGCATATTTCCATCACTCTATATTTGACATTATTTGCGTTCTAAATGTAGTAAAACAAAGATTTGTAAAGCTTAGTATGTGCTTTGATATATTATAATAATGATTTTTTCATCTTAATATTTTTCTTTTAAGCAAGAATATTTATAAAAATTCCTAAGAGCTATTTTTACAAGAGGAGATATAATTTTTCATTTCAATATTGTATATATGCGAAGTTACATGAAAATAAAATTTGTATTTTTTCCTCGCGCTCTCTATATATATAATTTATAAAAATAAAATGCAAACATTTTATCATATATCCTACAATAATGTAATTATTTATTAATAATTTTTATATACCAATTCATTGAAATAATATTCTTTGCTTACATTTAAATATTATTTTAATGTATGATATTATCGAATTATTTTAAAATATATCTATTTATTAAGGAAAAGTATATGTAGTTTTGAGTAAAGTAAAGAATAAATATACAGTATTCATAAGAAAGTTGTAATAATTAACGAACTATATTTTAAATATATAAATATACATGATTATTTAATTTATAGTTGTTTAAATTCTATAGATGAGCATATAAAAAGTAGTTTTGAATTTTCTACCTTTTATAGAAATTAATATATTATAATTTATTGCTTGTACACATAATTATTTCAAGGAATCTGTATAATTACACTATATCTAACACCTCTTGTTTAATAATATAATTTTTATAAGCATAATTCCTTATTGAAGTAAAAAATGTACTTGTAAAATAAATGTATTATATTTATTTATACTATTAAGGGATTTCATAATAATCCAATTATTATTAAATAATAAAAATTTATAAATCATTTATTTTATGAAAAAAATTAGGTCATGATCTGTTACGGTTAATGGATTAGGAGACGATCAATCAAAAAAGGTATTTAGATTAAAATGAAATAATACGAATTAAAAATATGCAAATTTAGGGAAAATTAAATCAAGGACATAAAAAGATATATATTTATTTAAATTAATTCGAAGTACTTCATGGTTTGAAAAATGATAGAATTAATTCTATATAAATATTAAATAATATTATAAATATATAAATTATGATTATTAGTTATCGAATTTAATACACACAATAACCCTAATTACTAAATAAACGATCCAGTATATATAATAGTAATATATGTGTATATTCTTTTTTTGCAAATTACATATTATTTTTACTGTATACGATTTTATTATTATTATTAAATTAATCATTATATATCTTTATATTATATTTTATCAGATATGAACAAAAGTACCCCTTTACAAAAGAAAAAATACATATATTTCTATGTTCGTGCGATTATATTTATTCATATTAAGTAAATTCACTTAAATATTTTTGTATATTAAATAATATATATTTTATAATTATGCATTTAAATGTTTTTATTAAATATTCTCTGTAAATAACATTCTGAGTATCTATTCGCGTAATAACGTTGATTATATAATATAGCCATATTTATATTTTAAAAAAAATTACTACAAGTATATTTATATAAAATATATTAATTAAGACTTTTTAGTAATTTTTATTAAAATTAGTATATATTCTTAATTTATAAGATTCTTTGCATATATTTTTTTTAATATTATATCACTTCTTCATTTATTAATTCTAAATACACTTAAAAGGTATTTTATATTTTATGTACACAAATGCTGTGCATATGAGTTACAAACATGAAATGATAATGCATATTGATTTATGTATAATACATTTTATTTCTTTAAAGATGTATATAAGTCATATATACCTAGTACATTCATAAGTATTTATGAAAATTTGTTAATGTATTTGTATATTGTTATTAATCTTATCAAATAATATGGATGCTTATAATTATATATTTACCTGGAATGTATTCTTCTTTATATGTATAATAAGGTGTGTTTTCTTAACGAAAAAATAATAATATTTTATAAAACATTTAGTTTTATATAATGGAAAGAATATTCATTCAAATACTTATTAATTTTTATTTTTAATGAAATCTGGAATTATTCCAACTGGATTGCTTTTTACATTTATATTTCTATATTTTTAAGAATCAAATGCAATTGTTTCTTATTCCTAAATATGAGAATATCATATATAAAGAAACATATATATTCATATTTTACAATTCATTCACTATTATACGTGAATTACAAAATAAAAGCTTTATATAACCTATGGTATATATCATTTACTTCGAAAAATGGGAACATATCTGTTCATATAACTTAGACATGATATATTTATATCAACTATTTATAATAAAAAAAATTATATTACATATTTCTCACAAAAATATATAATCACAGGATGCTATATGATAATATCTTTTGTTTACCTGTTATAATTTTTCATTTATGAATTAGCCTTATATAAAATTAATTTTTGGTTATTCTTTAGGCTATAATTCTCTTTTAAATTATCAATTTTTATGTATTAATAACACTGTTATTATGTAGTATAATAATATAGTCCTTTGCTACAAAAAAAAAAAAAAAAGTATATTTACTTTTTCTCATACAATTTGCACACATATTCAGGAATTAAAAATAAATAAAAATATATATATATGATTATTTTCTAAAATATAATTATTTTTCTTTTTTATATATAGAAAATTTTATTTACAGTTTATCTGAAATATAAATATCATAAATTAGATTAATAATTACTATTTTTTTAATTCAATGCTACTATTAATTTATGATCAATTATATAATCTTTACATGATATAAAAAAAATATTTTTATAATTATAATAATTTCATTGAACTAATTAATCAATATATTACTGTAAAATAATTCATGACATATGATATCATGATAAAATATTGAAACTCCTAAAATGTTCTTAAACATTAAAGAAAGCATTCTTAAATTTATTATTTATATATTAGAATTAATATTTTTTTTTTATTTCTATTTTCAATGGATTTTTATAGGATTTTTTGTAATTATTGTATAAGACATGATAAATTTTTATTTTTATTAATATTTTTTTTTTATGAACTGGAATATATGCTCATTAAAATTTTCCCACTTAAATTTATATCAATATAATTGGAGCAACTATGTATTTTGAATCAATAAAAATTACACTGGGTTATATCCTCTGTATTCCTCATTTGCATGATCATAAAATGAATTAAAAGACTCTAATGTATAATTAATGTTTCGATGGTTTTGTCCATTTAAATTACTTATCATATTTCTTAACTTTATTGTGTTATTGAGTAACTGCCTTCCTACGGGTGTAAGCTTGTATGTTTAAAAACAATATTAAATATATGTAATATATTAATTTATTTTTGATGGATATGAACTTCATATAAATTATATAAAAAATGATATTATGTATATATATTAATGAAATTTGTAGTTAACTTTATATAAAACTCCAAAACCTATAAAAGTCAAAACTACAGCAAGAATACTATTACCAATTATTTTTAAGCTTGTATAACTATTGTCTCTTAATTGTGACTCATGAACAGTTATAGTTGTTCTTAATTCATGCTCAAGTTGTTCTTGTATTGAGGGATGCATTTCTTGTCCTACAAATAAATCTACACCTTTTTTTTCTTCGGAAAAAGTAGTTCCTTTAAAATTTCTATCCACCACAGGTTCATAGCACTTTAGTTTATGTACCAAGTTTTTTGGATCGTAATCATTATAATTTTCGACGACTATTGGGCATTGATTTGTTTTCATATTAAGGCACAAATCCTTAAAATTACTATATATGTCGGCTTTATCATTAATAAAATTAAGCAATACAGTGCAGTTATTATTTTCTTTGCTAACCATACTACTAAGATAATTAAAATCAACATAGTATTCATATAGTTTCTTTCTCATTTTCCAATCATTTTTCGTAGGTATTGCATAATCCAGATAACATTCTTCAATTTTGGGATACCGAAGAACAGTAAAAGTTATCTTAATATAGCATTAATTTTTCCATAAAAAATGAGAGAATCTTTTGCTGTATTTGGAAAAACTTTATTTAGTTCTTCATATAACCAGTAGCTAAAATGTTTGCAAATGTTATTTTTATAATGATCTTCTTTTCATATTTTGTCTTTTTTTACTAAATAATGTACGAGTTTTGAACAAATGTGTTTATTATCTGGCTAATCCTCTAATGTATTATACTTCGAAGCACAATATTGTCGATTACCCGTTGTTAAATTCATAGAGTCTATATTTAACATTTGGTAAAATTTTACTTATGCAAAATCCCTTGTCCTAAACACCTAAAAATTAATATATAAATATCATAATAATAAATAGATTATTTATTCAATATAAAAAATATGTATTTTTAATCCTTATTTCATTAAATGTATTATGAAAAAACACAATGAAATGTTATAAATAATGAATGTATATTAAAAAGTCTCATACATTGATCGATGGAGAATCCATTTTTTAATTTATTAATATGCATAATGTATGAAACTGAAAAAAATATTTATGATCATAAATAATTATATTATAAAATATTTAAGCTACATGCAATCATTTGAAAATAATTAAAAAAAATTAAAAACCTTTATAAGTATATTAATTTTAAATATTCTTTTAAAAATTGTAATGTATTTACAAATCATAAGATTCAAAGTTCTAAATGAATTAATCTATTAATGAATATTATGAATCTGTATGAACAGTTCATTAAAGGCTAATTACGTAAATTTTATATAATAATCAATATACATTTACAATAACACATTAAAATATTTCATGTTTTTTCCATCAAAATAGTATAAATAATATATATGAATGATCTATAAAAACATAACTATATAAACAATCTTTTATTCCATTTATTTTAAAATTATATATATACTCAGGATATATTTATTGTATAATATAAAATAAATTGTGAATAATTAAAAACAATATCTGTACACAGATATAAAAAGATAATATGTGCTTTATGGATATAATATGCTCATAATGATTTGGTAAATTTTAATTTTCAAGCATTTTGTCATTTATTGTACAAAATAATATTAATCTGTGATAGAATAATTACGAAATATTTGAAAAATCATAATTTTTATAAAATGATGAATTTATTTATCCACTTAATAGGTGATAATTCAGGTAAAATTTAACTTTTCTATTATCCATGCTTATTTTCACTTGAGCATACTATCAATTAAAAATAAGTTTTATATTTAATATTAATTAAAATTATCGAATGAAAATTAATATAATACATGGAATATGTATTTCATTTTATGTAAAAAAATTATTAATATATCAAATGAAAAATGTAAGAATTTATTTAAATATGCATTTTTTTTTATAATAATACTGCATTACAAGAAATATTTTAATTAGCATAATATTTATGAAATGTTTAAAACTAATAACATTATAATCCTGTAAGAAGTGATATATGGAATTTATAAATATTTTTGACAAGTTAATAATTAAATGCAGTTCATGAAGTTTACCATTTTACCAAATAATATATATCCTATATGTTACAACAAATTTTATATGTTAAAATCAGCATATATTTTATGCTTCATTAAAATTGAGTTCAACGTATTTTTGTATATTATCATAATTGTGATTATTGTGAATTTCTTATAGTTATAAATTGAACATTAGTATTAGTTAAATGATGATATTATAAACGTTATATTTTATATCAACTGTCCATATAATAAAATGAAATTCGTTTTTTTCATGATAAATAGCTTATGTATAATACATTTATATCTATATTATGTAAACTATTATTTTATTTAAAAAAAATAATATATATATAATAATAAATAATAAATAAAAATTTTTTTTTATTGTTCCCTTTTATATATATTGCAATATAGATAAAAATTACATAATAAAAAATCCTTTTATAGATTATATTGCAGATTCACATTTGTCCCACTTTATTATTATACAAAAATTATACAAGTCTTGATATTTTTATTAAATTTTTAAAGCAATATTATAACTAGGGAATAAGAAACTACCTATTTAAATAAAAAATAATAAATTGTTGAAAATTGTCTGGAATAAGTGCAAAAAATATTGTAATGATATAAAAAGCGACTTATAAAATATTATGCATAAAATTTCTTATCCGAAACATTAGATATTAATAAAAATATATGAAGTATTGATACACATTCATGTTCATGATTTGGTAAAGTATATAATTTTATAAATAATAAATGTAATAAATGGTACTATATTAATTTAAAACAGGAGTAAATCATTTACTGATAACATTAAATGTTTAATTAATGCTGAAATGCTGAATATAGATGGAATAGAAAAATTTATTTATTTAAAGCATGATTAAAGCAAAAAAAATTATTTGTATGTATAAATTTATAGTATACGTATTAAGAAGAACAATCAGACATAAATAATGTATTATTAATCTATAAAATTAATTAACATTTATTATAATCATAAATAAATTTAGAAAATCAATTAACTCATAAATTTCATTAAATGATCAATAAAACATAAAAAGCAATATAACTAATGTAATAAAATTATTCCTACATATTAAATTGAAAAAATTGTTAAGCAACCATTAAATAAAATTAGCTAAAAGAAAATTTTTTTTAAAGGTGTAAATCATAAACCTTGTATAAGATAAAATTTATATATACATAGCATTTTTTATAAATTCACAGTAAGCATATTAAAAAATATTCATGAAAGTTTTGTGCTATATGAGTTCAAAAAATAATACCATATAATGAAAAAAAAAAAAACCTTGTAATATTATTTCAATACATATTTAAAATATACAGTTTTATATAAAATGCAATAGAAATTATTTATTGCAAGAATCCATAAGCTGTTGTTACATTTTTGCATATGCACAGAGAGGTGAATTAATGCTTCCAGAAAAACAAGAATCTAAATAATTTTAATACTTTACAGAATTTTAATAAACGCATTTTGAAAATGGGATGATTGAAAAATTCATAATGATTTAAAATATACTATTTTCAAGAATGGTAATAAAAAAGTAGAAAAATGTTCATAGGTTTGATTTATAATTTAAAAGATATTTACTAATAAATCTCGAATTATTATTATTTTTAGGCGAAATCTTCTACTGATACACACAAATGAATTATATAATTCATTATAATGAATTTGAAATATAATAAATTCTGTATTAAAAGAGAAAATCTTAATATATCTGTGAAAACATTATTTCATAAATATCATGCCTTAATTCGGACAAAATTTTTTCATCTAAGGATATAACTTTTTAGCATAAATAAAGATTCATATTCTTTTTATAATATAATCATTTCTTTTATATATTATGTAAAAATTGCATAATAATTTTAATTTAATGCTATTTTTTTTATACAAATATTATATTGATATATATTTAAACATTTATTTTATATATATGTTCTTTTAAAATTTTTCTGGAATTTTTTGCTTATTATTATTTCACTACACTTTATGGTAAATATTGTATGAAACGAATAATGAAAGTTTGATTAAATGGGAAAAAAAAATAATATAATAATAACAATTTCTTATGTGTTAAGGAAAAAAATAGGCAATATCCTATACAATATAGAGCATGAATTTGCTGAATAGATATATTATATATGTATAGTAAAGAGGCAATCCTTTTTTAATATTTTGTTCACTGAGGTATATATATATAACATATATATCATTATAAGCATGAAGTGTTAAAATGTTTAATTTTTCTTGTAGCTTCGGTTATATTCTATATACAAGATACTTATTTACAATAACTTCTTTTTGCAGGGTGATTCGTAATTATATTGTATATATTAGCTTAAACATATATGATCTATTATGCATTATCATTTTTAATAATATTTATTTATTGTTAAAATTTTATTATTAATTGTGAATTAAAATTTTATTATTAATTGTGAATTAAAATTTTATATATTAATTCATAGTATAATAACCTTATTATAAATGGAACGTAAAAATTGCAAATTTAACAAACTGTAATATATACGCACAAATGAATGTATCATTATTTTTTAGCGAGTATATAATGTATGTCAATATGAATGCAATCAGTTTTGTCAATAACGCATAATATATATTTTTTTTAAAATACATATAAATCATGTGTTATAGTAAGAAATTTTTTTTATATTTTCTTAATATAATTTTGCTTATTTATATTAATTAAAAATGTATTTTGCATGTTTTTTAAATGAAATAATATAAATGTTAAATACTTATTTATTATAATGCTTTTTATAATTATTCATCCTTTATAGAGGCTTATATGTGAAAAATAAAATTAATATAATTTTTTTCATAACAAAAAAAAGCACTTTTTATAGCCCTAAGAATCATTACATTTTACATATAATATTTTATTTAATTACATATTTAATAACAATATTAATCAAAATTATATAGTACATTATATGTCTTATCACTTAAAATATTTCTAGGTACTTCAAAAGATTGCATCTTATTTCTGTCATTATCTACCATATTCCATTCATAACGTTTCTTTAATATTGAAGGTATTAAACGAGAACCAATTTTTGTAAACTAATTTTATATATAAATAAATTTATGCAATAAAAATATAAATATTATTATTAGAAATTTATTTTTTAAAATTATTTAGAAATTTTTTTTGTAGTATAAATATATATACATATATATATATAAATGATTAACCTTAAAACAAATAAATAAGAGTATAGATATTAAAATAGTTACAACGACTGTAATTATAATAGGAGTTAAAATATTACTTCGGCAATTATTTATTACTACAGGTTCAGGAGGTAATAGAATTTTACTATTTACATCCATTAATAATTCTAATTTATTATTATATTTTTCTATGAATTGACTTGTTGCATTATAAAAATCTTGATTTTTTGTAGCGTTATTGTCGTCAGATATCAAATCTTCATAATTAATTTTTTGATGCATATGCTGTAGAGCTTTAAGTATATCCAAATCTTCATCTATAATATTATGATTATAACTTGCGCATACATGCTCGATATTACCTATCGTATAAGTTTTAAATATGTACATATATGAATCGTATATATTTTGTATATACTGAATATTATTTATTTCCTTAAGATTGCAACTTATCCAATAATAAAAATATTTACATCCGGCTTCTATTAATGTGATATCCTTTATAGAACTTATAGCAGACAAATATAGCATAGATTGAATGCATATATCCTTTTTATTTAATCTATTATCATTTAAAATGTTTTTTTTTATAATTTCTGGGCATTTAGGGCCCCATAGACCTCCCCCATTATCACCTTTATATTTATCTATAATTTCTTTAAAGAAGAGAAATAAATGTAAAAAGTAATTCTATAGGGATAAAAAAAAAATGGTATAAAATAATTAGAATTTATTGAATATATTTACAATTATATATGGAAAATTATATTTGTAAGCATAGTATAATTTTTATTTCCATTATAATAATTCAATATTACATCTATTATTGCCATTTCTGAATATATTATAATTTTTTAAGTGACAAAATTTGAATAATAAGATTTTTGAGTGCAAAATATAATTTTTAAAGGACAAAAATATATTAATAAAAATCTGCTCATTCTTCTTTCATATTTTTATATAATTGTGGGATATATATCTTCCGTGCACTATTTCACTTGCTTATACCTATTTTAAATGTAGAATTAATCATTAGTCTAATATAAAATGTCCTTCATATAATATATTTAAATATTGCATTTTTTATATATTAATATATTATATGAAAAACTTTTATAATCCCTGTTGAATTGTTTTTTTAAAGGTATCGAAACACTTGACAAAAATATTATTGTTCTGGTATTCTCATTAAATTAAAAGTATATAATAATAAAACATGTTAGTCTGGGTACATGGAAAACTACGATTTTTACATACATTTTTATAGTTCATATAATTATTTTTTTTATCCAAATGATACAATACCTAGAATAACTATAATATAGAATGACAAAATTAGTAATTTTTTTTACTCCTGTATAAATACTTATTGGCATGTATAAATATAAATTAATTATACTTGCATGAGTTTTTTTATGATTCGATGCGATGCATTTTTTTATAGAATTTATATTTTATAAACATTAAAATTTATATATGCAGTAATGTAACATAATGCCGTAAGGGTATATATATATAATTTTTATTTTTATATTTTAAACATTCAATAAAAAAAATAGAAATCATTATATAATATAAACATATTACAGAAGAATTAAGTAATACTTATTTTACACCCATATATTTTAACATAATTTTTATTACTACTAGTTCTTTAAATTCTGACTACAAATATCCAAAATTTTAAAATTTCACAATATGCTAGACAAAAAGAAATTAAAGTTAAATATATTAATATGAATTTAGAAATAATATTGTAATTAAAATAATGTAATGCATTTATTAACATATATCATTGTGAATATTTATAAATATATCAATTTTTAATTTTCTCATTTTTACCTTCATTTTTAGTTTATATAATTTGTTTTGAAATTACATCATCTAAATATTGTAAAATAATAATACCGAATGTAAAATATTATTTAAACAATAATATATACATCAATATACAAAAAAAATATATTTAAAAAGATTTATTTCTTTGGGGAGTTTTATTATAATATAATATTATATTTAGTTTTTTTAATTTTAATTTATTATACTAATTCGTATGTGTATTTCTATATGCATTATATAAAAACACCCAGCACGTGGAATTATAGTATTCATTATAAAAATATATAATATTAGAAAATTTTTTATTTCTTTAAAGAATAATTTGTTCATATTTGAAATCAAAAAATAGTTTATTAGTTTTATTACTTATAATGCGCTCATATTTATATGATATATATATTTATATATAATAGATATCTTTTATTTTATTTTTTATAAAAAAAATTATCGAGCATATAAATCCTTTGTTATTTTTGGTAAAGAAAAATACTTTTTGAATAACATATGTTAACAGATATTTTTTTATAAATTAAATGAAAAATAAAATACTCATTATTCTATACATATAACTATTTTAGCAAGAATTATATTGAACGTAATTTATTAAATATTTTATAATGCATTTAACGAATTCTATTTAAAATTTTAGCACGTTATATTATTATTTATCACATATATCATTACCACGCTTAATGGAAAAATAGAAATAAAAAAATAACAAAATATAATAAATTAATACAAAATACATAGATTACATTGGTTCATATGTTATATAATGTATATATATTATAATACAAATGTAAAAATTAAAAACCGTAAAAATATGTTTAATAATAGAACTTTCTACAATTATATACAAAAATATTTATTAATTAAATATATATTGTAAATTATATTTTCCTCTACTTTTTCTCTAAAATATATTGTATGCATATAAAATGACTGTTATGTATATGAATAATCATCCATGATCTGATGTAATATCATATTAATTCATTGATCATAGCTACATTTATAAATTTATCTTAGACGAATTTTGTTATATTTCATATAAAAACTTCAATAAACTTAATTATAGGCGCTTATATCTAAAATGTTATCTTTCTCATAATTATATGCGTTTCTTTTGCTTCTTATGTGAATGATAAAAAGGAATATAGTAATATAATTACATTGGGGGAATTTCTATATTTAATATTTACTATAAAAATTAATATTTCTGTAACTATTAGAAAATGCTATAAATAAATTTCATCACAGAATTTATTATATTATTTTTCCCATTATATACGTGTGTAATTTTTTTTGAGTGTGTATGCAAAGTGATTATAAATAAAGCATTGCTTCTTATAAAACACCAAAAAAATAATTAGGTCATAAATAATTCTTCATATTATTCTTTAAACATGGACTATATAATAATCCTATACCCTTAAAAATTAAAAACAAATTAATACTTATATATATGTTGCAATGAATGATATATAATCACTAACACAAAAATTGTGCCTTAAATACAACATGAAATAATAATAAAAACAAATAATTCATTTTATTCTTTAAATTTAATGTATTATATAAATGTGTCTTCCTGAAAATCTATTAGATTAAATAGAAGATACAATAATGTTTCGTTTTTATTCATAAATAATATTAATAAATTATAACATATGTTTTTATTTAGCACATATTATTTATATGCAATAATCATAATTTTATCTATTGTAACTAAAATAAAATTCTATATATTGAGAATTTTATATTAAGAAAAGTTATATTCGTAACATTGTGAATATTATATATAATTAAATCAAGGTAATATAAAATATTATTATACCTAACAAAATAAAAATAAATATTAGTGAATTAAATAAAATGAGCATTGCAGTTTTATTCTAAATATCATGCAAGTATTTTATATGTACTATGTATTTATGTAGTATTCACATAAAAGTAATATATATACATAAAATACATAATAAAAATTTTCAGGGATGAAAATAAAATATAGAAATGAAAATAAACAAATAACAATAATTTTCAGGAATTTAAAAGAAAATATATTCTACTTCAAAAAATGAGAATAATTATTCATTAACCTAATTCATATACATTTATTTCTGTTATATTCATATGAATTCTCCTTATGTATATTACCTTTAAAATTATATATTTCACCTATATATTTAGGTTTTTCGAATTTATCATATCGGGTAATATATTTAGACTAATCCTATCATTTTTGACATTTATATTTTCTATGAAAAATTGTATTAGTTTAGGTATGATATTCCTACGAATTTTGTTGTTTTTAACGTATTTCTTACATTTTATTTTTCAGTTTTCCTTCAATGATGAAAATATTTTAAATACCTCTATATTTAACACTAATATATATAGTGACATTCCTGCAGGTTCTACATAAAAATTTTGCATGAGGTATATTTAAGACATAAAATAATATACGTAAAATTACATACAATAATTGTATTATTCGTTTACATATGTTTAATATCATTAAAAAGTGCATATACAGATTATTCAATAATTATGTTAATTAAAACAAGTAATTTCTACCATTTTAATGATTATATAATATAAAAAAAGAAGTTTGTTCACACTTTTTAAATAATTAATATAATAATATAATATTATTATAATTATAATTTGATATACCTACTGCTGTTATATATCAATTAAATGCATTTACTTTTTTATAAATTTTCCATATGTTTTTTATTTATTAAACACTAATATAATATTTTATTTATAATAATTTGAATTAATGAAATTATAATAGGAATAATTTTTTATTACTCTCATTTGTGTAATTTAAACATATCTATTTTCAATATAATATAGTAAAATTTTTAGAGCTTTAAATTCTCTAAAAATTATTGTGTTCATCATGTAAGATACCTATTACTGAATAATATTACACAATGCTAATTATTTATATATTTTTTTGTGTTCAAGTAAGCTCTAATTTACTAAAAATTATGAAACTAATTGATTATTAATTTTCTCATATATATATAACTTTATTTAATGTGTTCATAATATAGAGTACACCATTATTATTTCTGTTAAATCTTGTTTTAGAAATATGGTTAATATGTTAAATTTGAATACATATATTATAGTTTTTTATTATTATATTCATTAATTGACAATGCATGCTCCTAACGTATTTATTTCATATAATTTGTAGTACATATATTATTATTTTCCATTTACTAAAAATGAGTTAGATTTTTTTATTAATATACTACAGAAATCAAAAAAGTACTATGATTTTCATTTGTAGTATTATCAAAAATTTTAAAGGTTTTTGTTCTCATGATTATTTTTGTTATTTATTATGTGCATAAATGTATCGCTTTTTCTTAAATTTATTACATAAAACAAAAGAATGTTAACTAATAATTTCTATTATACTTTTGTTATGAGTATTCTATTGAATTATATGATATCCCAGATCTTTTTTCTATGAATTCTTCGCATGTATACTCAAGAGAACGCATTAATTTGAAATTATCTTTACTTTCTTTGTTTACGAGTCGACTTATAATCCTTTTTTTTTGTTTTGTATATGATACTCAAGGAGCACGCTGACAACAAACAATCAATATAATATATTTGTGAATACAACATTTATTAATTTAAATTTTCTTAATTATGTTTTATACAAATTTTAATGAAACGAAAAAAATAATTAATTGTATTTAGTATTAATCTTATTTAGAAAAAAAAATATTAATAATATTGCAAATGCTACAGTAGATAATATCAAGACAACTTGGTGTTAATCTACGCCATAATAATTATATAGGATTGGGGGGACGACATGGCATATAATCTTAATATGCATACACATATAATATTCTTCTTGATATTTTTTTAATAATTTACGCAAACTATAATTATTCCATGTATTATATATTTCTAAAAGTTTCTTATATTTTTTAAAACATTCTATCTAGAACGGCAGTTATAATAATTCTTTTTTAATTCATCTAAATAAATATGAAGTTCATTCAGATTTCCAGTGTATAAAATGTAAGATCATCATGATTATTTATATGATTAAAACATATATCAA